GGACACAAACCATCCGAGGCGAGTGAGATGTTTCAAGGCATCATGCTGGGACCAGCGTTGGAGATGCAGCCCCTCCGGCCACCCTGGGCTACCTCCCACCCCCAGGGGTGTGGGCTCAGCCGTGCCAACGCGGCAGCAAGAGCTTGGTGAGCTGCTGCCCATGGGGACCTGCTGCCTGCATGCTCTTGCCTGCACGGACACCGGTCCACGTGGGTGCATGTGAGCCTCCCTCGCTGCGGCTAAGCACCGCTCCTTTTCTGCATGGGGAGGTCCTGGATTTCCATCCCTTGGGATTGTAGGTTAAAGCTGGCTTCTTCCTTGTGTCCCAAACCCTGGAGCCAAACCGGACTGCTGGAATGAGACGGATCTGCCCACTGCAGGGGCTCTGCCAAGGGATGGATCTGCCCCTTTCATGCTCTCTGCCAAGGGATGGGTCTTCTCCTGTTGGATGCTCTGCCAAGGGATGGATCTGCTGACCCCCTCTGCTCTGCAAGGGATGGTGCAAAAGGATGGCTCTGTCCACCCCACGTGCTCGGCAAAGCACAGCCCCACCACGTGCTCTGCGCTGGGGTTGGGACCACGGACGCCCCGCTCCGCACCCTGCGCCGGAGGACAGCCCTCACCTCTCCACTACCCAAGTGACAACAGACGTGACCTCAGATCTCAGCCCATAGACTAACCCCGCGGGTGCTGCCCGGAGGCGACCCCGCTGTGGCCCTGCACTTGCCTTCTTGAGCTGTTTGAGGTTGCTGGAGCGGATGGCCGCCAGGAGCTGGTCCCGCGAGTTCTTCTCCTGGACCGGCAGTGCCCGGTCTCCTAACTTCCTCTGCGTGGCCGGCGAGAGTGAGTTCCTCAGATTCTCATTGATCAGCGGTGGGGCAAGCGGAGGAGGAGGCGGGGGCGGCGCGGCGGGTGCCCCCCCTTTCTTGGGAGAGCTTTTGGGGGAAGCCTTGGGGGACGGCTGCGGGGATGGCTTGGGGGACCCCTTCGGCAGGGCTCCAGGCTTGGGCACCTCCAGGAGATCTTTCTTCTCCCCACGCTCCTGTGCCAGTTTCTGCTCCTGGAGGCGTTTCTGCCTCTGTTTGTCCATGTTTCGGCTCAGCAAGTTGGTGACTGTCATGCGTGGTCCGGCCAGCTCGAAGTGGTAGCCCAGCTTCAGAAGCGTGGTGTTTTCTTTCAGGAGCTTGGCGATCTCCATCTCCGTCTTCCCCCCACAGATGTGCCGCTGGTTGTGGAAACGCAGCTCCGTCAGCGTGTTGTTCTGCAGCAGTGCCCGGAAAATGGCCAGGATGCCCTTGCCTGTGATGTGGTTGGAGTCCAGGTTGATGCTCGTCAGCACCTTGTTGGACTTCAGCATGATGGCGATGGCGAAGGCCACGTGGTCGTCCGCACGGGTGTTGGCCAAGGCAAACAGCTTGACCACAGTGTTGAACTCCAAGGCCTCGGTGAAGCGCACCAGGGTCTCGTTGTTGATGCAGTCCGAGTTGTTCACGTTCACTTCAGTGACCTCGGCATCGTTGTTCTTCACCTTCTCGATGAGCTCATCGAAAATGCTGGAGGCTTCGTCATCCTTGGCCTGATCCGGGGAGCTGCCGGTGGTGGGCTTGGAGGGGCTGCTCTCGGCCGCTGCCTTGGCCTCCTGTTTCTCCTCTGCTGCCTTTTCTGCCTCTGGCTGGGCTTTCTCCTTCTCATCTGCCTTTGATTTTTTCAAAGCTGAGCCCTTTTCCTCTTGTTTTTTATCTTTTTCTTTCTTATCTTCTCCTTTTGTGTCTTTTTCTGCCTCTTTCTTTGATCCTGAACTCTTCTCTTCTTCCTTTTTGTCCTTTCCTGTGCCCTTCTTCAACACAGAACCCTTTTCTTCTTCCTTTTTGTCCTTCCCTGTCTCCTTCTTTGCTGCTGAGCCCTTCTCTTCTTCCTTTTTATCATTCCCTGCATCCTTCTTTAATGCTGAGCCCTTTTCTTCCTCCTTTTTATACTTCCCTGCATCCTTCTTTAATGCTGAGCCCTTTTCTTCCTCCTTTGTATCCTTCCCCACGTCCTTCTTCAACGCTGAGCCCTTCTCTTCCTCCTTTTTGCCCTTCCCCATCAGCTTTTTCTCCATGGCCTTGACTTTGTCGTTGATAGCCTTCTCCTCTTTGGTCTTGGTCTCAGCCTCAGCTTTAACTTTTTGGTCTGTTTTCTGACCACTTTCTTCCTTTTTAGAGTCTTTCCCCACTTTTGTATCTCGTTTTCGGGCCAGGTCTTTGGAAGGAGCTTCCTTTCCCTTTTCTTCTTCATTCTTGGCTCCCTTATTCTTCTCACTTGATCTGCTTTCCTAACAAGAGAAAAACACAAAGTGTTACAGAGACAGATGCCTCCGACCTCTGGACTCGCCACCCCAGTCTCATTGTCACCAGACCTGCACCTCTGTCACACAGTACCAGCCACGGCGGGGCAGCACCGCAGCCGGGGAAGATGCGTGGGAGGGTGCAGGACAGTCCGGTCTCAGGAAGGTCTTAGACTACGCCTATGAGGGATGAGCTGCCCTAAACCAGGCATTTATGATAGAAAACGGGTGAGAGCATCGTGCAGGGTCCCCGGGAGTCAATGGGGAGGAGCCGTGGGGGGCACAAGGACAGCTAGCGCTGGTCTGTGCCGTGGCAGGGGACAGACCCATGGTCAGGACTCGTTAGGGAGGTAAGCGACCTACTGCAAATCATGATGGTTTAGCCCTGAACACGGGCCAGAGTCTCCTCCATCTCACCTGAGTGATTTACCACTGCGTGTTCACACGCTGCAGCCGGTGGTTGCGCTTTGGAAGAGGAAAGTTTAACCCAGCCCAGGTCCCGGGTCCAGGGGAGAGTTCAGCGTCCGAGTGCCCCGAATGTAGGCAGAGCCTGCAGGACCCAGGCGTGCCAAGGTCCCACTGCAGCTCTCCAAGGCATCTCTGCTCTCCTTCTGCCTCCAGTCCCTTCCCAAAGGGCTCCAGAGGTCTGCGGGATGCCCTCCATCCCCAGTGAACAGACAATAACCTAACAAGCGGCAGGATGCATCTCCCTTAGCAGACTGTGCTGTTTGATCCCTTCCTATCATGCCTCCTATGAGTTATCCTCTTTTTAATCACCTTCTGTTATCCTCTCTTTAATCACCTTTTTAACCAGGAACGGATCTAGTGATCTACCTCTGTGAACCTCCGGTGCTTTCCCAGCTTTCCTAATGTTTACCAGCTGGACGCTCTGCAGCTTTGCACGGTCTAGAGCCCAACTCGCTTCCCGTGCTGGCCTGGATGCGTGTGCAAGCAGGGAAGAGTCCACAGCTGGTGACACTGGTGACACTGCTGATGAAGCAGTTGCACCCAACCCTCTGAAACGGGCCTCCTTTTAACATGAATTTGCATTTTTGAGCTCCCTGCAGAAAACCAAGGAAATGGGGACATGGCGTTTATTGCTTTGTAATGCATGATGTTTTCCCAGCACGTCTTCTTCCAGTGTCCAAAGGCATCGTAGGAGGGAAGAGCTTAACTGGAGCGGTTTTGGGGAAGGACGTTGAGGTGCTGGAGCGTGTCCAGAGAAGGGCAACGAAGCTGGTGAAGGGTCTGGAGCACAAGTCTGATGAGGAGCGGCTGAGGGAACTGGGGCTGTTTAGCCTGGAGAAGAGGAGGCTGAGGGGAGACCTCATCGCGCTCTACAACTACCTGAAAGGAGGTTGTAGCGAGGTGGGGGTTGGTCTCTTCTCCCAAGTAACCGGCGATGGGACGAGAGGAAATGGCCTCAAGTTGCGCCAGGGGAGGTTTAGACTGGACATTAGGAAAAACTTCTTCACTGAAAGAGTGGTCAGGCCTTGGAACAGGCTGCCCAGGGAAGTGGTGGAGTCACCACCCCTGGAAGTATTTAAAAGACGTGTAGATGACGCGCTTAGGGACATGGTTTAGTGGGCATGGGGGTGCTGGGTTAACGGTTGGACTTGATGATCTTAGAGGTCTTTTCCAACCTTAATGATTCTATGATTCTATGATTCTATTTTGCCATGTGGGTTAAGCAACGCAGCATCACTGCAGCTGGCACCCCCTTCCCCTGCCCCCGGGATCTCCCTGTCATGCAGTGCCCTGGACCTCCTGAGTTTCTTCTTTTATCTCCAGGCCAGCCAAGGTGCCCGCTTAGCGGGCTGGCAAGCATCAGTGCTTTCGTTTTATCTGCCTCCTTGTATATTCACTCTTCAAAAGCAATTTTTGCCTTTGCTTTTATGCTTACCACGATGCCACTGTTGTGTTCGTGGGACTTCGATATGCAGGAGGAGCTTAGTCTGGCTTTCGGCTCTCCAATGCTGACCTTCAGGCAGTGACTACATCCTCCCTGCATGCAGAGGGATGCAACCCCAAGGCTTGACGGCTATTTTCTTACAAACTACCTGTGGCAGCAAAGGATTTTCCTCTTTTCCTTCATGCTTTAGGGCCATTTGATCATTTGCCTCCTGTCAGTCAAACCCCCTTTTCATGTAATTTTTGGTACTTTTGTCAAGCACCTGAACCTCACCCTCGGCACAGCCTGTCCTGTGCATTGCTGCTGACCACAACCAGCACCGGCAGCTTCACAAACAAGGACACAACAAATACCTCGTTGCAGCCTTCACCCGTGGCCGATGGGGCTGGGAAGAGTCTCCCATCGGCATCATTTCAACATGTTCTGCTTCTGCAATCAAAGCCTTTGATGGCAGCTCGGTGCACGCAGCCTTCCAGGCTGTTGGTTTTCTTATGGCACTGGATTCGCTTCCTTGTGTGCCCGGAGAGATGCAGGCACAGGACCAAGACTTTGTTACAGCAACGCAGTAAGAGCAGGGCACCGGGGCAGGATTCACCTCCCTGAACATCAGATACGAGACACCTCCACTCCCAACAGAGATGAGCCAATGCTATGAACAGATAACTAAAGACAGATGAACCCCTGACATTGGGACCAAATTTGCTGTGCAGGGGAGGTTCCTACCGTAAAGTCTGGGTCTGGGTTTGGCAGTTTAAACCTCCTTCTCCCTGCTCCGCAACCGGGGAGCTCACAGCTCCTGCCCCTCGCAGCTGGCCCGGCTCCTCCTGGGTGCCTGGCTTTGGCAGCACGGCTCGGTTCTGCGTGCCAGCCGGCGCCGTGGGGTTTCTGTCCGGAGATGAGCAGAGGGTGATGCGCTGAGATCCTGCTAGCTGGGAGCTCGGCCGCAGAGCCAAGGTTAGGTCAGGCTCAGATCTACAGCTGCGGGATTAATCTGGGCGTCCTCAGCTTGACCATCGTGATGCTGGTGACCTGACAGTGATGCTGGCTGCAGGAGGAAGAGGAAGCACCAAGGCAAGGGGGTGGCAGAGTGAATGTCCTCCTTGCTGGGGGGACTTTAGGACTTCAGGGAAAGGAGGAAGAAAGATGCTTCTGGGAGATGCAGCTGTGATGCCTTTTGTCCTGGTTCCGGCTGGGACAGAGTTAACTTTCTTCCCAGTAGCTGGCGGGGTGTGCTGTGTTTTGGGTTTGGTATGAGAGGAGCGTTGATGGCCCATTGATGCTTTGGTTGTTGCTGGG